TTGCCAATAGTATTTTCCCATATATTTGACTATGGCACACAAAAAGTCAGAATGAAAAGCTGTTATACTCTCTTTCCTTTGAGAACATCCAACAATCAAACACTAACACCATTTCTCAGCCATTACTGCAAACAGACCTAAGGGTAACCCTAACATTAACCCTGACCTTGATTCTGACCCTAACCCGAACCCAACCCTATCCAAACCCAAGCCACAACCCTAACAAAACACTTAACCTAACCCTAACCCTTATCCTGACCCTGACCCTGAGGCTAAGGCTAACCCTAACCCTAACCTTAAACATAACCCCAATCCTAACCCTAAACTTACCCCAATCAAAAACCCAACCCTAACCCTAACCCGACTTTCATTTTCATTGTCAATAGTATTTTCCCATGTATTTGACTACGGTCCACAAAAAAAGTCAGAATGAAAAGCCGTCAAATTCTCTTCATTTGACAACATCCAACAATTTAACACCAACTCCCTTTCTTAGCCATGACTGCAAACAAACCTAATGGTAAACCTAACCCTCACACTAACCCTTACCTAACTGGAACTGAACCCTAACACTAACACAAATAGTATACTTATCTCTAACACTAACACTAATCCAAACCCCAACCCCTACTCCTACTCCAACCCCCACCCCATCCCCTTCCCCATCCCTAACCCCAACCGGAACCATAACCATAACCTTAATCCTAACCCTAAATACTAACCATAACCCTAAATCCCATCTTAACTCCAACCCTAACCCCAACCCCAACTGGAACCCTAACCCTAACTACTAACTCTTACCCTAACCCTAACCCATATCCTAACCCTAACCCTAATCATAACTATAACCCTAAGCCTAACTCCCACCCTAACCCCAACCCCAACCCGACCCCATCCCTAACCCTAACCCCAACCGGAACCATAACCATAATCATAATCCTAACCCTAACCCAAATCCTAACCCTTACCCTAAATCCCATCTTAACTCCAATACTAACCCTAACCCTAACCCCAACCCCAACCGGAACCCTAAATCTTCAAGAAAGGCCAGAAAGGTAAAATGATTGGTTTTTCAGTTTCTCCAAGTTAGAGAGAACAGGATTACATGTCTGTTTTTTTTAAATTCCATGTCTGTCTCAAAAGTGATGTGTATTTGCTGAATTGAGGTTTGGCATTTGCTATCATGGACCTTCTAGCAAGTAGAAATTGTGCATTGGACTCATTTTTCAGAGAAAGTCTGGGACTGGAAAAATATTATTTTTTCTGCTTTCTATCTCCTCAGAGAAAGGTCAGATGGATAAAACAATTGGTTTTCCTGCACCCAAGCTAGGGAGAACACAATTATGTCCTTTTTCACATTTCATATCTGTCTAAAGTGAACATATTTGTTCAACTGATGTTCGGCATTCACTGTCATGGGTCTCCTAGCAACATAACATCTTGGACTAACTCCACAAAGAACTGACCTGAAAAACAATTGGTTTTCCTGCTTCTCAAAGCCAGGGAGAACATGATTATGTGTCCATTTTTAAAATTCCATGTCTGTCTCAAAAGTGAAGATTACTTGCACAATTGGAGTTTGGCATTTGCTTTTAATTGTTCCCAAAGCAGTTATAAAGTGCCTTGGACTAGCTTTTCAAAGGGCAGACAGGAAAAACAATTGGTTTTCATGCTTGTCCCAGCCAGGGAGAACATGATTACGTGTCTGTTTTAAAAATTCTATTTCTGCTCAAAAGTGAAGCTTTCTTGCTGAACTGGAGTTCTGCATTCGTGTATAATAGGCCTCTTAGCAGTTATAAAATGTCTCCAAGAAAGGCCAGACAGTTAAAACAATTGGTTTTCCTGCTTCTCCAAGCCAGGGACAACACAATTATGTCTGCTTTTAACAATTCAAGCTTCCATAAAATAAGGTGAAACAAAGTTGTGTTAAAATATATTTTAATTCTATAATTTTTGACATATTTAAAAATACAGTGAAATATTTGTAGAGTGCATACTTATTTGATTGAACAAATACATCAACTCTGTGCTAAGTGTACTTCAATGAAAATCAGAAAAAATATCACCTTAACAGATCAGTCTTTTGTAGATTCAAAAGGTCTCAGAGTGCAATTCACTAGGGAAACTGTATTATAACATTATTGTACAAGAGCTGAAGTAATTTCACAAAAATTGAAAAAATGCATTCATAAAAACCACTTATGCATTAATTTAAAATTCTATTAATTGATTTGACTCTGTTTTTACAAATGCCACTACTCATAAGGTAACTAAGTCCATAAAACTCAAGGCCCCCCCATAGCATTTGTATGGATTTCTGCAGCTCAGATCTGAGAACACATTCTTCTCGCAAATTCCATGTCTGCCAATCAACAGAGCCATGATGATCCAGAGGAAAAATAGGGCTGCTCCTTTAAGTACAGGAACACCAGTTTGATATTTGTCAATACCACCAGAACATTTATACCCATGTATAAGCCTGGATTATCATCTAGTTATAAGCCTAGAGTATCGTACATCACTGTGTATAAGATGTTTCTTTTAAGTGCATATAGAGATACAAAATATTCCTTGCCTTATCTTCAGTCTGAGTAACAGTGTAAAAAAAGCCCTTACTGAATCTGAATGTGATTATGTTTATTCTGTTCCTATAGCACAGTGATGGCGAACCTTTTAGAGACTGAGTGCCCAAATTGCAACCTAAAACCCACTCATGCATCGTCGAGTGCCAGGCGGGCGTGGCCCATTGGGTGGGCGTGGCTGTGGTGGTAACGGCAGACTGGGTGGGACTAAAAAGTTCAATCAATCAATTCCAACTTTACAAGATCTTTTTTTTTCCCGTGAGAAGTTGAAATTGACTGATTGAACTTTTTTTTTTTTTGCACACGGCGGCAGAGGCCTAAAACCCAGCTGAAGGCCTAGGACTGGGGCGACAGCATGCGTGTCCACAGAGAGGGCTCTGAGTGCCGCCTCTGGCACCCATACCATAGGTTTGCCACCACTGCTATAGCACGTCTAGTTCTCGCTCATTTTTTTATGCTGCACAATAAGCAAAGTTGTCCATTAGTATCACAAATGTATTTACTATCTCATGTGAATTAATTTTGACTAGAACAAATGTTTCGTTGCATGAACTTTCACAGGTCACAATCCAATTCAGCACATGCTTGGAAGAGTTTTTCCTTATTGAAATAATGGATTAAAAGATATAAAAGACAGCATTGACAGATGATCAATAACAAGACAGTAAGTAGTTGGATGTAATTCATTTTTACACAGTTCAGCTGGTTATAAAGGAAGATTGTTAAATGTCATGATAAATGGCATTTAATTTTATTGCTGAAATCCAGCTCACCAGTTTATAACAAATCTATGAAGCTTTTTTGTGATAAACCTGCAACACGATAGTTGTTGGTTTAAAAATAGGAACTCTGCAAAATAATTGAAATACATAATATGAAAGCTTGAAAAGACATCTTTCTGTTCCTTATGAAATAATTTAAATTAGTTTTCATTAGAGAGAGCTTAAACAGAATGAACAGAACATTGTATTTTTAAAAGTATTCTTCTATTAAATTTGAAGAAAACTTATTTTCTAGCAAACTACTTTCTGATTTAATGAAACTTTGAACTTCCAAATAGAAAAAGCTGTTACAAATAATCAGAGTTGGTTGAAAGGCAAAATATTCCAAGCAGTAAAATAGTTTTGGCTTTTTTCCCCACAAAAAAAAAGGAAAGGAAAAAAGCTCCCCAATTAAATATATATATTGGAAGTGATTTCACAAAACCTGTAGCAGTACAACTAGATTTATTTACTTTAATATAGTTTTGTGTGGTTAAATGAAGTCACAGAGCTGATTCTTTGTTGCCCATATGAATTCTGCATATGCTATAGCATATATTGATCTAGAACAGGCGTGTCAAACTCGTGATGTCACATGACGTCATGCAACGTATTGGGCCAGTTTTGCCATTGCCGGCAATGGGGTGGGCGTGGCTTCCACGTGACCCGTCCGGCCTGCGGGCTGGCAGTTTGAGACCCCTGATCTAGAATCTGCAAATGAACAAAGAATTGTCCAATGAAACACTTCTGTTTGGCCAATTGTTCTTCCAATTTTAATTAGGCCTAATACTTAGTAAATCTATGTTTTAGCTTACACATACTTCAACAATTGCATGTGGACTACACATAAATGACCTTTTTTTCTTTTAAAGGAGATTCCCATCTAGCTATCTAGATAACAAAAACAGTTCAAATTTAGAATTTTCTCTAGCCTACTAATTTTTATGTTTATTTTTAATTTAATAAGGTGATATATCTTCTGATTTTCAATTGATGCAGTCCCAAAACAAGAAAAAACAATCTTCCATATTTTAAATATAGCCTGACATTGTAAATTTCTGAAGATCTAATCTGCTATTAGAGATGACAAGCATACATTATTGTTAGATAACTTCTGTGATAATGGAGAAAGGCAGTACTTCCATCCATAAATGGCATCCATTAAGGTTTATTTATTTTTAACAAAAATTGTTTAGGGTTTTTGCTTTACTTCGCTTTTTTGCCCTTAGATCTAAAGCATACAAGAGTGAAACAAATCTTTTACATGAACACTAACTTGCAGTGCTAAATTGTGGTGTAAGAAACATCAGCTAAGTTGAAAAAAGTGTGCCCATCTTTTCTTACAAAAATGGTTTACATAAAAAGAAATCATACAGAACTGTATCATTATTGACAAGATCACAGAGATGCTGGAGTAAGAACTGAAAGGCAATTCTCACAAGAACACATTAAAATCCAAATCCTACAAGGAGATATATTTGTGCTTCTCTATATCAATGATTCAAAGTGTTAATATAAAAAGAAGGAAACTGTTTTCCATGTTATGTAAAAATGACAAGGTCTTTATCAAAATGATTTGAGCTTTCAGTCTAGTACTGCTAAGATTTTGGAATCTTCTGCAAAGAGGAAAAGAAAATTGAATTTTTTAGCTCAGGAATCATGCTCCAAACTTTGGCTATTCAGAAGCTCTTTTTCTTGAACTAATAACAAATACAAGACTGCATGAGACTAAACTCTCCATCAGAGGACATAATCATCATATTCTTCCTGTGGGCTAAAAGCAGCCGCTCGTAATATTTCCAAAGAATTTACTAAAATTAGTGTTCCAGTCAGATGTTTCCAACGTTTTGTAATAGGATTCTTCATTTTATCAAGACCAATGTGCAGCTCTTGGGTAACATCACGGTAACTGTCTCCCATCTGATTACTCCATGTTAGCATGAAATCATAGGCTGGTTTCCACATTGCCTGTCAGACAGAAACCAAAATTAACAAGGACTGTTTATTACTAATTCTTATATAGTGGTAAAAAATCAGAAAGCATCTGGTAGCAATTCTCAATTAACAAATGTTATTAAAAGGTGCTACCAGACTCCTTGTTTGTTTTAACACTATTCACTAACACAGCTCTCTTTAACAGCAATTTTATATAAAGATATTTTTAATATTTTATCTATTTTTATTGTGGAATATGGAAGTCTAAGTGGCATAGCCTAATCTCAGGCTCCCTTCAGTGAAAATTGGAAGAAAAATATTCTAGAAATAATATAATTTCTAAGTACCATTATAATAAGTTAGCTAAATTTATTTGTACTGGGATGTTTTTCATAATATCTGCATTGGGAAAGGATAAAAATAATGAAAAGATCTCAGTTACGGTGCATATACTAAATCAGTGATGGCGAACCTTTTGGAGACCGAGTGCCCAAAGTGCAACCCAAAACCCATTTATTTATCGCCAGGTGCCGGCTGGGCATGGCTGACTGGGTGGGTGTGGCCACCTCAATGATACTCGTGGGGACACCTGTGGGGACCGGGCAGGGTTGGGGGAGATCCAGGGGGTCTCTGGTGGGTGGGGTGGTGGGCTGGAGGCTCGTCCTGCAGGGTGAGGGCAAGGTGAGACGGGCTGGAGCAGCTGCTGCCTCACACCATCAGCACCCCCACACAGAGGCCAGCGAGCACATGGGGGCCGACGGTGTCCGTCAGTAGCCACAGCCTGCTGGCTGTCCTGCATCATGGCAGCCCCATAGGCATGGGCAGAGTGTAGCCCCATCGGCATGGGTAGAGATGGCCCTGGGATGGCCAAAAAGGAGCCCTCACCTGGTGCGGGTCCTGTCTACACGGTGGCTCTGACAGCGGCTGCTGCTGCTCCTCCTGCTCCTCCGAGCCCCTTGATCGGCCAATCACACAGGGAAGCAGGAGGCAGCAGTGGTGATTCATGCATCGCCAAGCCTGGCCGGCAGCAGATCTGGAAGCAAAGCTGTGCCGCCCAACCTCGTGCTGGTGGAGGCAGTGGCAGGGGAAGGTGAGCTGTGACGCACGCCCACCCCTCCCCACTGCCACCCCACATTGTCCTGCATGCAAGTCCCAGAGGCCCATGCGGGACAATGTGGGGCAGCAGCGGCAAAGTGTAGGCGCATGCAAGATCCCGCCTTCCCCTGCTACTGCCACCCCCACCAGTGTGAGGTTGGGCGGCACAGCTTTGCTTCCAGATCTGCTGCCCGACACCATCGGCCCCCACACACAGAGGCCAGCGATGGTGTCCATCAGCAGCCACAGCATGTTGGCTGTCCTGCATAATGGTGAACTAGCCATGGAGCCCCATCGGCACAGGTGGAGACAGCTCCGGGATGCCCGGAAGCCCTTGCCCAGCCTGGGCCCATCCACTCGACAGCTCTGACGGGGTGGCTTCTGCTGCTGTTCTGATCAGTCAACCATGCAGGGAAGCAGGAGGAGGTGGAGGGGCAGCCGAGGGTCTGGAGCCGCCTCGGCTGCTTGCTGGCAGCCTGACGAGGCAGCAGATCTTGCGGAACAGCTGCCCCTCCTGCTTCCCTGCATGGTTGACCAGTTGGAGCAGCAGCAGAAGCCGCCCCCATCAGAGCCATTGAGTGGATGGGCCGGGCTTCCTTCCAGCTGTCCTGGGACCCTCTCTACCCGTGCCGATGGGGCTCCTTGCCCAGTTTACTATTATGCAGGACAGCCAGCATGCTGTGGCTGGTGACGGACACCATCGGCCCCCATGTGCTCACTGGCCTGTGTGTGGGGGCCGATGGTGTTAGGCAGCAGATCTGGAAGTGAAGCTGTGCCGTCCATCTTTGCGCTGGTCGGGGTGGTGGGGAAAGGTGGGATCTGGCATGCGCCCACCCTTTGCCGCTGCTGCCCCACATTGTCCTGCGTGCGCCTCTGGGACAGGCATGCGGGACGATATAGAGTGGCAGTGGGGAGGGGTGGGCATGCGCTACAGCTCACCTTCCCCTGCCGCTGCCTCCACCAGCGCGAGGATGGGCGGCACAGCTTTGCTTCCAGATCTGCTGCTGGCTGGGCTTGGCAATGCAGGGATCACTGCTGCCGCCTCCTGTTTCCCTGTGTGGTTGGCTGGTCAAGGGGCTCGGAGCAGCAGCAGGAGCAGTAGCCACCGCCGTCAGAGCCACTGTGTAGACAGGGCCTGCACCAGGTGAAGACTCCTTTCTGGCCGTCCCAGGGCTGTCTTTGCCCATGCCGATGGAGCTGCACTGCGGAAGGGAGATGGCGGCTCTGATTCTCCCCTGCCAGCCACCCCTCCAGCTCCCTGCCTGATTCCCCTTCTATGCAATTCTACATGACCACAGTGTGGATGAGAGGCTCGGCCGGCAACGGGGGCGGCTTGCTTCCGCGGAGGTGTCCCGGCCTTCCTGCCCCCCCCTAGCCAGACCCCATTACCTTCTCCCACCTGGGACCTGATGACCCCCACCCTCCTGCACCCACCCCAGCTGACCCCCGAGCAGGCCAGCCCATCCAAGATGGAGGGGAGGCAAGACAGAGAACCGGTTGTTAAATGATTTGAAACCCACCACTGGTCACTTCCAAAGGCTGCTCACTCACTCTCCTGCCAAAACTGCTCCTTTTATAGGTTCCCTCACCCCGCCCAGCTCTCGCAGCTGTTCCTGGACTCCGCATGTGTGGAGAGGGGGAGGGGAGGAGTCCAGCCCTGTGTCTCTCTGTCTGTGGCAATGGCATGCGTGCCCACAGGGATGGCTCTGCGTGCCGCCTGTGGCAAGCGTGCCATAGGTTTGCCACTACGGACTCATACCATCTCAGGTGATTGTCAAGTCTCTTCTTAAAAATCTCCAGTGATGGAGCACCCACGATTTCTGGGGGCAATTTCTGTTCCACTGGTTGATTGTCCTCACTGTCAGGAAGTTTCTTCTTAATTCCAGGTTGCTTCTCTCTTGCATCAGTTTCCAACCATTGTTTCTCATCCTGCCTTCTGGTGCTTTGTAAACAACCTGGCCTCCTCTGCCCTGTGGCAGCCCCTCAAATACTGGAATATTGCTATCATGTCTCCCCTATTTCTTATTTTCTTTAGACTAGCCAAACCCTAGTCCCACAGTCGTTCTTCGTATGTTTTAGTCTCCAGGCCTTGGATCATCTTAGTTGCTCTTCTCTGAATTTTTCCAAACTCTCAACATCTTTTTTGTGATATGGTGATCAAAATTAGCTGCAGTATTCCAGGTGTGGTCTTACTAGGGCTTTGTAAAGCGGTAGTTAATACTTTGTGTGATCTTGATTCTATGCCTCTGTTTATACAACCCAGGATTGTATTAGCTTTTCTGGTTGGGAAGTTAGAGCGGTGAAAGGAAACCAGGCCACCAAAGAAGACGGTGGCTGGACAACCTCGAAACTGACACCGGCCAGAGCAGAGAAAAGCTCAAAGAAGCCATGAAAGACTGGAAGAGGTGGAGAGACCCCCTGGCCCAGGGAATCACCAAGAGTCAGACATAACATCATCACTGTCACACAGGATGCTACATGTTGTCTCCATGACTGCTTTCCTTTGTTACCTATTCTTACCTATTGTTAGTTATTCTCCAAAGCACCTGAAGGCAGGACAAGAAGCAACGGATAGAAACTAACCAAAGAGAGAAGCAACTTGGAACTAAGGAGAAATTTCTTGATTGTTGGAACAATTAATCAGTGGAACAGCTTGCCACCAGAAGTTGTGAATGCTCCAACACTGGAAGTTTTTAAGAAGAGACTGGACAGCCATTTGTTTGAAATGGTATATAGTGTTTCCTGCCTGAGCAGGGGGTTGAACTAGATGACCTCCAAGGTCCCTTCCAACATTTTTATTATTATTATTATTATTATTATTATTATTATTATTATTATTATTATTATTATTATTATTATTATTATTATTATTTCTTCTGGGAGGGCGCTTGCGTGGTATCCGAAGCTAGATTCCGTAATAGCTTTGTACCATATAGGATCAACTTTCTTTAACTCTCAGGACTCTTGTTTTCTGCTGTGTATTCTAGATGGACTGTGATTAATATATATATAAAATCAGTGGTGGGATTCAAATATGTGAACAACCAGTTCTCTGTGTGGATGCCGCTTCTGGAAGTCCGTTCTGGGCCTGGGCAACAAAAAATTAGCTGCTGGTTCTGCCGAAGTGGTGAGAACCAGCTGAATCCCACTACTGTATATAATGTGTATGTTTGTGGGTACCATGTGTACATGTATGTGCATACATGCCTATGGGTATATACATATATGCAATAGTGGTGAATATCTGCAGCCTGGGTGTAGGATGAGGGTGGAGATTTGTTCTCCGAGCTTGTGGGAACATTTCATTACCAGGCTAGGTAACATCTTCAGTGGTGTTTTAGGGGATGTAAGTGTCGGTGTTGTTCTGTTTATAAGGGCTTCGGGTGTGGGTATGTCGAGTGAGGGCCTTGTGATGGATCAGGTGTGAGTCATCAGTGAGAGGCTTGTAATGGGTCTTGTGATGGGTAGATTAAACTAGGTGAGGGTCATCAGGAGGTGAACTGCTGGTGTCCTGCCTTCAGGGGCTTTGGAGAACAGTTGACCCCCTCCTCTTCTTTGTGGCAACCCCTCAAATATTAGAAGATGCTATCATGTCACCTCTCATCCTTCTCTTCATTATAAACATATAAGGAATGTTTGCTGGAATTGGGTATGTCCATGTCCTTGCTCTGTGCGGGCCACGTCCGGGGGTGACTTTCCTCCAGGGGGGCTGCTGGTGAGGAGGGGGCCATGGGGGGAGGTGGGGCTGGGGTGATGGCGCAGAAAGGGCTCTGAATGCCCCCTCTGGCATGCATGCCATAGGTTTGCCACCACTGTACTAAATCAAGACTTACCCAGCTTACTTTATATCTTGCAAATTATATTTAAACTCAAACATTTAAGATTGGACTGGATGCCTTTCCTTCTTGGCTAGCTAACACAACTAAAGTGGTGATAGGAGATTACACGTAAATGGCAAAGATTACACCTTTGGGGCTGGGTGCTGTTATGTGATGCTGCAGATTTAATCCTTTCCTCCTTACACTGAATATCTGTTTCAGGGGTGTCAAACTCGCAACGTCATGTGATGTGTTGTGACATATCGCAACTTTTTTTCCATTGCCGGCAATGGGGTGGACGTGGTTTCGGCATGACGCATCCGGCCTATGGGCCGGCAGTTTGACACCCCTGATCTATATGAAGCTACAATATGAAATCATTTGTCAATGCAGAATAGGAGATCATCAATAGACTGGTAATATCCAGCTTTATATCTCTATCCTAGATTGCATAGGAAATATAGGAGATCCTGACTCATGCCTGGAGAAGACATGCAGGTACACACATTTATGAAATGTAATTTCAGTTTTCAAGAAGGGGAAAAAATAGATCCAGGAAACTACAGACCAGTTAGATTGACATCAATACCTGGGAAAAACCTGGAAAAGATAATTAAGTACATTTGTGAGTACCTAGAAATGAATAAAGCAATTACTAGAAACTAGCATGGATCAGGGAAATGCTCGGTATATAGTTTACTTGGACTTCAGTAAGGTATTTGACAAAGTAAACCACAACCTACTTCTGGGGTAATGGGTTGGACTAGAACAAGGCTTTTCAACCTTTTCACCGATTTTACCACTTTTAGAATATGGTAATATTCAAATACCACCAGTCGCCTAGCAAGGTGTCAAAAACTTGACCAAAAAACCCCCCCAAAACGGAAAAAAGTGGCAAAGTACAGGTAGTCCTCTCTCACCCCCTTTAATATCATCTCTTCCCCCACCCCCTTTAATATCATCTCTTCTCCCACCCCCTTTAATATCATCTCTTCCCCCACCGCCTTTAATATCATCTCTTCCCCCTCCCCCTTTAATATCATCTCTTCCCCCATCCCCTTTAATATCATCTCTTCCCCCACCTCCTTTAATATCATCTCTTCTCTCCCCTTCAGCAGGACCCAGACAATGCCTCTCGCAGCTCCAGCTGAATCTCTGCCTGAAGCCTGTGCAAGGCTACCTGCCACCCCCAATCAGCTGGAGCTGCGCGTGCTAATCCTGGGCTCTCAGCAGGACCCAGGCAATGCGTTGCGCAGCTCCAGCTGAATCTCCACCCAATGACTGTGTGAGGCTGCTTGCCGCCCCCAAGACCGCCGCCAATCAGCTGGATCTGCATGCTTTGATCCTGGGCTCTCAGTAGGACCCAGGCAACGTACAGTTCCAGTTGACTTTCCCACAAGCCTGTATGGTGCTGCTGCCACTTCACCTCATCCACTTTTACATTTTTTTTACATTTTGTTTTTAACAGTGCTGCTCATCCCATCATATGCGTACCACCTGCCAGGTGCCAACGTACCACTAGTGGTACGCATGCCACCGGTTGAAAAGCCCTGGACTGGAAGATCTCCAAGGTCCATTCCAGTCCTATGATTCAAGAAATCAACATGTTGAGCCAATGTATTACAGTTAGGTCTGAATGGGGAAGAACAGAATTAGGCTGAATTCTAAGACTAAGTAGCTGTGGATAAGACGCTTAATAGAGATAGTTGATATATAATTCTGAATGATGATAGTTCCCATATTGAGCTAGTTTGCAGTCTGGGAGATCTCCTGGACTTGTGGCTCCTGCCTGAGCATAAAACAGAGATTATGGTCAGGACAGCCTTTGCACAACTATATCTTATATATCTTTTGTATTCCAGTATTTGAGGGGTGCCATAAAGAAGAGGGGATCAAATTATTCCCCAAAGCACCAGAGGGCAGGACAAGAAACAATGGTTGGAAACTGATCAAAGAGAGAAGCAACCTGGAATTAAGGAGAAACTTCCTAACAGTGAGGACAATTAACCAGTGGAACAGCTTGCCTTCAGAAATCGTGGCCGCTCCATCACTGGAGGTTTTTAAGAATAGACTAGACAGTCACTTGTCAGAAATGATATAGGTTCTCCTGCTTGAGCAGAGGGCTGGACTAGAAGACCTCCAAGATCCCTTCAAGCTCTATTCTATTCTATTTGCTAAAGTAGCAGTGGTTGTGCACACACATTCCTGTCATCGTGCAATTGTATTATTATTACCTATGCTAAATGGGATTGCCATTTAAGACTATCCAGAAACTTAAGCAGCAATCCAGTAGTGATTGTGACACCTACATTTGCACCCATAAACCCTTCACTCTAAGAGTTACATCAGTGGCCGGTCAGCTTCCAAGTGCACTGCAAGGTGCTGGTTATTGCCTTTTAAAGCCCTATGTGGTCTGGCTATCTTCAAGATTTTCTGCTCTGAAATACATCTGCCCCTCCTATATGATTAAGAGAGTGAAGACTTGAGGATTTTGTCACAAGAGAGTTCCACCTGCAGTAGTCTCGCTTTCTCATTTACGGATCTCCTCCTATGGAATAGCTGGCTATCAACTATAGAGACCAGTACCTCCCCAATGCAGGGATGCAAAAAACTTAGCTCTTGGAAAGAGCATTTGGGAAATATTAAATATGGGCCTGCTCCTATAAGTTTGTTTCTGACCTTTGTTTATGTTATATGTGGAGCCACAGGAAAGAAGCATGTAAAAAGTAAACCCTAATCTTGCAAACAGACTTGTTCAGGTCACACTGTTGTTCTTTTAGTATTATGTGTTGTAATCATAGTCTAATGATGAATTATTCCTGCTAAATATGAATATGTTAAATTGAACCATTCTGTGTGCATGACATGTATATGATCACAGAAGGATCTCACAATTACTATAAAATCTGTGCTGATCTTGGAAGAATGACTGTATTTTTTCACTGCAGTGGCTGTACAACACAGATTGCTTCCTTTTCTTAGGTGGGCTGTCTTTATTTAAGAGGGGAAAAATATGTTGAACATAGTATGAAGCACATTTTCCAAGTTACTGAGTTAATTCAGTCTTTCTGGATGGCCTGAACATAATGTACTTTTACCTCACTATCAACTGCACCATTCTTATCCTGATGGGGAGCTTCATAGGCATCCATCTGTTGCTTAGAAACTTTAGCCAATTTCTCAGCAAGTTCTCTCCAGCGCTGAGATACTTCTACAGCTGTAGTCAGAAGAACAAAATCCTGAATTAGCTTGACAACCAAGCCTTGACAGTCCATTTTCAATAATGCCTGAGAAATGAGGAAAAAAAAACTAGATTAGTCATTGAGGTTTTGGAGAATTTACTGTGATTTGGTAATTGGCAAGATACACCCATACACACCTGTTTTGTTTATATACTTTCCTACACAAATGTACTTTTCTTAAATTTATGATTACATAAATAGCAAAAATATACACAGTTCTAGGAATGGAAGTTGTTGTGTCCTGGGCCTGTTGAGGAAACTCAGCAGGCCCAGAAAGGTTGCAAATGGTCCCGGGCATTGTAAAAGCTGCCTGGGACCAGACAGAGCAGCACCAGCCTTGTGCGCATGCGCAAGGCGCGAAGACGCTGCGTTCCTATTGGTTAGCACTGTCTGGGTTCCTGACCCTATAAAAGGCCTGCGTGCCTTTTGCTTCTTTGCTTGGAGTTGGAGAAGGAGAATAAAGAGCTGTTGTTTCCACCATGCGTCTTCGTCAATTGCGTGCAAACTGAAAACACAACAACTGGCGACGAAGGTGGGATCCTTTTGCAAGCTTAAAGAAATGAAGAAGGACTTACCCAGGAAGTCCTGATGAGGGAAGACGGCGTCTGCATCAGCGTCCCATTCCGCCAGTACAGCGTTGCTGGGGGATGAGCTCGGCTAAGGGACCCTTTCCCAAACATTAGCTTGCAGAGGAAGCGATTGGTTAAGGTCGTAAATTTTACGATGTCGAAGATTGGCCACTTAACTGATTTCGATGTCTCCCACCCAGAGTGATGGAATTCCTACGTAGCACGAGTGGAGAATTACTTTAGAGTAAATTAGATAAGAGAAGACGGCCTGAAGGCAGCAACTCTTTTGTGTGCCTGTGGACAAGAAGCTTTTGACATCGCAGAAAATATGGTGGCCCCTGCACCTCTTGAGTTAGTAACATATGCTGATCTAAAAAAGATGTTGAAGGAACACTTCCAGCCAAAGTTATCCATCATTGCTTGGAGGCACGCGTTCGAGCAGAGAGACCAGAGGCCGGGTGAATCTGCTGCAGACTTTATTGCTGCCTTAAGGCAAGCGGCCAGGCCTTGTGAGTTCAAGGATCTGGAAGAGAGGCTGCGAGATCGCTTCGTTTGCGGCTTAAGGAGCAGACTTACAACAGAAGATCTTTGCAAAAGAAGATGTTTCCTTCCAAGATGCCTTACGAGAGGTGGCAGCTGAGGAAGCAGCAGGAGGGTCTGTGAAGGCCTTGCGGCTCGCCAGGAACCCTACAGACACAGCTACCGTCCATCAAGAGGACGCTCGAGAAGGATCAGAAGCGGATCCTGAAGAGGAGGTGGACAGACTTCACCAGCCAGCTGAGAGGAGGCAGAAGGGACGTCCGGACAAGGCCCCAGCATCTCTTCAATGCTTTGGGTGCGGAGGACGCCACAAGCGAGCTGATTGCAGGTTCTGCTCCGCCATTTGCAGGCAGGGCCACATCGCATCCATCTGTTTGGGTCGCCAGAAGGTCCAACCTCAGGAAGAATTGCTTCAGAAAGGTACCAGGGTCCCCAGCCAACATAGGGTGGGTTTCTGCGCATCGCGCAGGAGCATTCTAAGAACAGGGACACACAAGCCCCTTAAGAAGAAACTTTCCATTAACATAAGGGTGCAAGGGGTTCCCTTATTGAGTTGGACACTGGGTCCACTCTCTCAATTATTTCAATTAACACATTCAAAAGGATTTGTAGTAGTAGTGGCCTTCGAGTTAAACTCAGGCCATCGAATGTAATACTTACAGATTTTCAGAATTCTATGGTGTGTGTTAAGGGGGAGGCCACCCTTAGGGTACAGCATAAGGATTTTGAAGGTCTCCTAGATATGGTGGTAGTTGGGGGTGAACGTACAAGTCTTATTGGACTCGATTGGTTCGAGGCTCTGGGAATCCAGGTAACTGGGCTGCACCATTTGCAAACGTTGAGCTTTGCAGAAGTCTGCAAGGAGTTTGAGGATGTGTTTAGTTAAGAGCTAGGATCCTACAAGGGGCCTCCCATTGCGCTACGGTTAGACCCAACTATCACGCCCATCAGGGTCAAGCCTAGAAGGGTACCTTTTGCCCTCAAAGGTAAAATAGATGCTGAGCTGGACAAATTGCTCCAGCAGGGCATCTTAGAACCTGTGGATTCTAGTCCATGGGAAACCCCCATAGTAACGCCTCTAAAGGCTAATGGGGAAATTCGTATATGTGCAGATTACAAGTGCACACTGAATAAGGTGTTGCAACAGCACGCTTATCCAGTGCCTGTTGTAAGCCACATTCTGGCCTCCTTCAAGGGGGTGTGTGCATCTTTGCGAAACTTGACCAGGCACAGGCCTATCAACAGTTACCTGTTGATGAGGCAGCTGCAGAGGCCCAGACTATTGTAACTCACAGGGGGGCCTTCAAGGTCAAGAGACTGCAATTTGGGGTAAATGTAGCCCCTGGCATATTCCAAAGTGTAATGGAGAGCACACTTCGAGGTATTCCTGGGGTCTGCCCCTATTTTGATGACGTCCTCATTGCTGGGGAGTCATCTCAAAATCTAACAGAGAGATTAAGGGCTGTCTTGCTTCATTTTCGCAAAGCAGGCCTTAAGTTAAAGCAGGATAAATGTAAGATAGGAGTCACTTCCACTGACTTCTTGGATTTCAGGATTGATGCCCAAGGCATTCACCCTGCTGAAGACAAACTGCAAGCTATTCAGCAGGCCCCAAGTCCAAAGTCCAAGAGTGAGCTACAAGCCTTCTTGGGACTCTTGAATTTTTACCATGCATTTCTCCCACATAAGGCTGCTGTGGCAGAGCCGTTACACAGGCTCTTAGACAAGCAAGCTCCATGGCAGTGGACTAAAGTCCATGACAGGAGTTTCAATGAGGTTAAGGCCTTGCTCACTTCTAATGCTGTTTTAGCGCATTTCAATGAGCAACTGCCTGTTTGCATCGCATGCGATGCATCTCCTTATGGAGTGGGAGCAGTACTTAGTCATCTGAAGGCTGATTGGACACAAGTCCCTGTGGCCTATTATTCAAGGACTCTGTCATCTGCAGAGCGGAATTACGCTCAGATTGACAGAGAAGCCTTGGCAATAATGGCTGGCATTAAGAAATTCCATGATTTCTTATATGGCTGCCACTTCACGGTCTATACAGACCATAAGCCTCTGCTGGGGTTGTTTACAACCAACAAACAGACACCTCATATCATTTCTCCTCGTATGCTGAGATGGTCCATCTTCTTGTCAGCATATGACTACACTTTAGTTCACAAACCTGGAAAAGAGATGGGCCATGCAGATGGCCTAAGCAGATTACCTCTGAAACAGGTAGAGCCAGACCCTGCTCCTGCCATTAATATTCTTTCTATTCAAGAGTTGCCTGAATCTCCCCTCAATGCGAGGGACATGGCTGCAGAGACTGCCACTGATCACACGCTTGCACACGTGCTGACATGGGTATTGTCAGGATGGCCTGACACATGTCCAGATGCGACATTACAAAGTTTCTGGCAAAGGAGAAACGCACTGTCTACCTTTAATGGGTGCCTATTATGGGGAAGTAGAGTAGTTATTTCTGCGTCACTGAGGTCTAGGGCCGTGGTGGCGAATCTATGGCACACGTGCCACAGACGGCACGCGGAGCCATCTCTGGTGGCACGCGAGCCATTGCTGGGTCGAGCTGTTGCCTCCTCTTTGTGCATATGTGCAGCTGTCCGCACATGTGCAGTCTGGGAATAGGCAAGAGGCTACAGCGGCCGGCCATGCAGGGGAGGAGAAAGACAAGGGGCAGCGGGGGCAGTAATGGCGGTGGCGAAAGGCGCGGGGGGGCGGCCTGCTTGGTTAAGCTGCCTTGCCTCGGCCTCATGGAGTTAAGGCGGAGGCGGCAGTGCGGAGGCCAATCTGGACAGCCATGCAGGGCAGAGGTGCTGCCCAGGGCCAAAGGGGAGGCCGGGCAGATTGCGGGCACTGGCAGGGGTGCTGGCGCGAAGGCCGATTGCACGTGTGAGCGGGACAGCCGTGCAGGGCAGAGGCAAAGATGAGCCTGGCCGGCCGCAAAGGAAACAGGCAGGAAAGGTGAGTGGCATGCCTAAAAACAAAAAAGAAGGAGAGAGAGCGGGAAAAGCGATGAGCCAAGTCGGGAAAGGAAAACTGGGATCTCCCTGACCAGCGCAGAGGGAGCGCCCAGCCCGCCTGGCCTGCATTTAGGAAGGGGGGAATAAAGAAGGGGAAAAGGGCAGAAATTACTTTACATGCCCAAAGATCGGGAGGATTTTCTTTGCAGGCAACCCACAAAGCCTGAGGCCGGGCTGAAGGAAGAGTTGGTGGCGGCAGCACTTTCTCCCTTGGGATCACGCGATCGCATCCGAAGAGAGTGCAGGAGGATCTCCCAGAGCCCGACCAGGGTCTCTCCAGCTGCGGAGAAGGGAACCAGAGCTGAGCGAAGCCTCCGTCTGGCCGGCCGCGGCTCGGAGCCTTCAACGGGACTGATTTCCATGCTCCACCCATCAGCGCGCCTCACTCTTCCCGTACCGAGTGAATGCCATTTTCATTCTCTGGTGTCCGTTTGCTCCCCTCATCGAGCAGCCGACCAGGGAACGGTCTGGCCGAGCCACCCTTCATCTGGAAAGGAGCCAGAGACGAGCCCGAGAGAAGGAAGCCACAGGACGGACTTCGCTCTTCCCACCATCCCTTAATCCCGCTGGCAAGTCCTCCCAGAAACGGCTGGAAGTTCCGATCCCTCCACAGAAGTTTCCTGTCCCTCCGCTGCCCGCATTCTATGAGGGCGCTGGTTAAAGTTTGGAGGAGTTTCCCCCCGCTTTATTATTTTTGGGAGGAGGGGATTTACCAGCAACAGTGCCTCTCCTCGGGATGACCAGAAGGGATCCCCTTCTTCAAAGGGAGCCCCTGAGGTCGGCTATCCGGACAGCTCCCCGTCTGATCCAAGTGAGCCCCTCCCAGCCTCAATCCTCACTTCTTCCGAATCAAGGGATGTTTTCAGAGCATCCTTGCGCCAGAAGAGCCCCCCCGCTTCTCTTGCCC